GTAAAGCTTTCGATAGCACATCTTTTAAAAAGAAATTCAATATTCCATCATTTTTTCAAGTCGAAACAAATGCAGAACAAAAAAATGTTTCAACAATTTCAGTATGACAGGAAGTGATAGTGTTATGTGAGTTATTCATTTTGAGTGTAAGAAAAAAACATTAGAACATGTAAAAGGGAATTCAATCATGAAGCTTTAGCCGAAAAATGTATCAATCAGATTGCGGGATCATATTTCTCGGTTATATATAGGACGGAGCCCCACAATATAGCCCTCATTCGATAGAGCGTTCCCGATAACCCTAGATTTGGCCCAAACATGATCAGTAGCTATCAGTAAAAAAGGAAAAAAAATCTTCGTGAGATCTGATTGGTCAGAAAGCTGTCAAATGAAATTTCAGGAGGACTTTTCTTTCTTATTGTCAGGACAACTGTTTGTCATGTTCGGACAAATTGGAGGATTATCAAGGGCACTCTGTCGAATGAGAAGCATATGTTCGAGACTCCTTCCTATATATCAACGAGAACTACAAACCCGTAATCTGATTGATCCATTTTTCGACAAGTAAGATTCCAGGAGACCTGTTCTTACGTGTTACCTGGGCAAACACCAGTATAGCAGGACTTCAGGATCCGGAGATACCCACCGATAGAAGGCCTTGAGGACCCAAGGGTACCCACGATAGTAGGACTTGAAGATCTGAGGATACCCCGAGAATAATCGAAAGCCGGGAATGACCAAACCGCGAGAGTGGCTGAACCCGGGAACACCGAACCCCAGAAAGTTCGGGTTCTGTGCATACGTACACACTGTCCATATTAAATATAAAGTCTCAAGGAAATTTCGTCCATTGGTTAAGCAATGCGCCTCAAAGGGTTAAACAGCGTAAACATGAATGAACTCTAGCTCGTCGATCATAGCATGTCAGTTGGCAATGATAGTTGTCAAAATTAATTCAGAAACTTCGCATATTTCTAGTTTGATATTGCATTTCCGTGTTCAGTAGGAGTAAAACAGAACAGCTTTCGAAATAATTTTTGTATGCTATGTTTGATTATCCTAAAGTTTGGAAAGACTAATGAGCGTTGTTTTTTATGACGCTCCTAACGATTTAAATCGGAAATTCGTTCAGTACTTGACAAAATCAAAGCAGAAAGATTCTATGAGCATTGGTATACATCATATGGAATTACATCAATTGATATTTTTATGCAAAAATTATCGTACTATTCTTATTTAGTATTGTTTCAGTTCATTTTCTCGTTACATATTATCCTATTTATTATTATTTGGTTAGTTTATTAAGTAAATTTGAAATCTATGCAACTTATTCAATGCATATCCATGACAGTATAGCCAAGAAACTAATTAGGGATGAATCAAGAGATATTTGTGTGAAAGGATGAGATGATTATTACATAATTGCTCTGATTCTTGTTGCCTTTTAGCTATTAAATAGTATGGAATACACATATGCTGGCCCCATAGTTTCCGCTCATAACCCGGGTTCCATCGACGGTCAAACGGGGAATGGCGACCGTGGGCAGATAACACTCAATGGAGGCAAGCACGTCATGCTGTCTTATAATTGGAACAGTCAACCTGTCGTATCCAAAATATACCAAATTCTAAAAGACGAAAACATTCCAATTTGGTTTGATATACAAGGAGACATGAAGCAGAATATTTACGAAAGGTATGGATGTTAACACTTATGTTTCTTGTCTTAATGTTAGAATTGTACTTCACTTTTGCCTAGCATGGCTGACGGAATAGAAAATGCTGCAGTCGTCTGTTGTTTCATGACACCGGATTATCAGAAATCTGAGAATTGCAAACTTGAATTACAGTATGCAAAAAAACGAGGCAAGCGCATCATTCCATGTATGCTTGGTGATAAAGCATGGAAGCCCTCCAGTTGGCTGGGATTGATAACAGGAGGAGACCAATATATAAACTTCCGAGATGACTCTGATGAGAACATTCGTTTGAAAGCAAGACAGCTCATTGATCGAATAAAGGAGGAATCTCCAACATCACAACCAGTCGATGAACCAAGTTATCTATTCGAACTAATTAGACTCGAATATAAACGAAACAGTCGTATCGAACGAATTATGAATCCGGCAAAATCTGTTTCGATTGAACAAAGTTACATTAACTTAGCTATAGTTGAAATCAAAGAACAACAAGAAACGGAAAAGAAGCTTCGTGATGCTCAGCACAATGATGCAATCATCGGTACCTTTGAACAGATCTACGGCATGAAGACTGTAATAGACGTCAAGGATATTTTTAACAAATGCAAGAATCAAACAAAGAACGTGCTCGTACTTGGACGAGCTGGAATTGGAAAATCAACATTTTGTCAATATGTTGCTTACAAATGGGCCACAGGCGCACTTTGGTCTCAATATGATCTACTTGTTTTAATTCCCTTACGTTCCTTAACAGAAAGTCGCTATCCTCCATTGACACCCGGAACGAGCTATACTCTATTTGATCTGGTGAAAAAAGAATATTTCGTTCATGGTCTTTCTGAGACAGATGACACACTCTTGAAAGAGCAGTTTGGTAAAAGTCAAGTACTATGGCTTTTGGATGGCTATGACGAAATTGTGCAAAATGTGCCAGGACATCTGCAATATTTATTCGAACAATTACTCAAGACTCCACATCACATCGTCACATCTCGTCCCTATTTGAATAGATTATCGTACACGGTGCAACTGGAAATTACAGGCTTTACAGATGATAATATTGCGGAATATGTGAAGCAGTTCTTCGATCAAACTGAAGATGCAACACACCATTCAACATCCGCAGACGAAAAACTACTAAGTTTTTTAAAATTGAACCCCAGCATCTGGGGTGTCGCACATATTCCAATCAATCTAGAATTAATATGCAGTCTTTGGAGTGATACTGATTGGTCCGAAACAAAAACACTGACAATGACAGCACTGTATGATAGCATTATAGAATGGCTATGTCGACGATATTTGACAAAACAAAATACTGATATTCAAATGACTAAAGAGGATGTTTATGCAGATTGCCATAAAGAATTGGCATTCTTGGAAACATTGGCGTTTAAAGGAATGGAAAACAACACTATAATTCTAAGAAAAGAATTACTGCAAAAAGTTTTGAAGGAGACTGAGTACTCGTCAAAGCACTACGCCCGCTTACTCAACATTGGTGTTCTAAAATCGATAAACGTTCAGTCAATTGGTAATCAAATCGAAGTACAGAAAGATCACTATTTTATTCATCTCAGCTTTCAAGAACATTTTGCAGCACGATACTTGGTGAAAGCTCTCAACGGTCCAGAACGTCAAGCAGCCATTGAGTTTATCAAAAGTCACAAGTACAACCAACGTTTTCAATTGGTGTTTATCTTTACATCTGGTCTTCTCATTCAGACTGATGCTGAATCGTGCACTAACACGTTCTGGGACATTATATTAGGAGAGCCATCGGATTTGGTTGGTTTAAGACACATACAGTTAATTATTTCTTGCATGGAGGAGACTACCAGTAGCTCAAGTTTTCGTCGACATGCCGAGTTGATGGATTCTATAACAAGTGGAATCATAATTGCTGTGTCCATGAAGCACGGTATTATCTACAAACAACTTCAAGAGTCATTGCGAAGGAGTGCTTCATTAGTACATGACTCAACAATACAAGACACACTGATCAAGCTACTCGAAAGCAAAGATCCGGACACGAAAAGCAATGTGCTTTCATTGATTTCACAACTGTCGATTTCAAATCCATCATCTCAGCTCATTCATCTACTGCTCCTTCACCTTGGCGACGAGAATTGGTATACCAGAATGAGAGCATGTGAAGCTCTCGGACAAATGCGTGAAAAAACAGTAATCGATGATGTGATCACTAGGCTAGTGGCTGCACTTGGGGATGAGAATCATAGTGTCAGAATGAGTGCATATGATGCTTTGGGGAAACTGGGCGAAAAAGCAGCAACCAATGCTGTTATGAATAGGCTGATGGCTGCACTTGGCGATGAGAATGAGTATGTCAGACAGAAAGCATGTGAAGCGCTGGGGGAAATGGGTGAAAAAGCAGCAACCAATGATGTGATGAATAGACTGATGACTACACTTGAAGATAAGAGTTCGGATGTCAGACGGAGAGCATGTGAAGCTCTCGGAAAAATGGGTGAAAAAGCAGCAACCACTGATGTTATGAATAGGCTGGTGATTGCACTTGGGGATGAGGATGGAAATGTCAAACGAAGAGCATCTGAAGCTCTCGAGAAAATGGGTAAAAAAGCAGCAACCATTGATGTTATGAATAGATTGGTAACTGCACTTGAGGATGAGGATGTGAATGTCAGACGGCGTGCATGCACAGCTCTGGGGGAAATGGGTGAAAAAGCAGCAACCAATGATGTTATGAATAGGTTGATGACTGCACTTGGGGATGAGAATAGGACTGTAAGAGAGAGTGCATGCAAAGCTCTCGAGCAAATGGGTGAAAAAGCAGCAACTAATGACGTGATCAATAGATTGGTGACTGCACTTGGGGATGAGAATGGGAATGTCAGATGGCGTGCATGTCAAGCTCTCAGGAAAATGGGTGACAAAGCACCAACCAATGACGTGATTAATGGGCTGGTGACTGTACTTAAGCACGAGCATTGGAATATCAGACAGAATGCATGCACAGCTCTCGGAGAAATGGGTGAAAAAGCAACAACAAATGATGTGATCACTGGGCTGGTGAATGCGCTTGGGGATGAGTATGGGAATGTTCAAGAGGCTGCATGCAAAGCTCTCGGCGAAATTGGTGAAAAAGCAGCAACCAATGACGTGATCAATGGGCTTGTCACTGCACTTGGGAATGTGTGGCCGGATGTCAGAGAGAGTGCACGAAAAGCTCTCGAGAAAATGGGTGAAAAAGCAGCACCCAACGATGTTATGAATAGATTGGTGACTGCACTTGGGAATGAGAATGTTAAAGTCAGATCCATGGCATGTCGAGCTCTCGGGAAAATGGGTGAAAAAGCACCAACAACTGACGTGATCAACAGACTAGTGACTGCACTTGGAGATAAGAATGGGTATGTCAGACAGTGTGTATGTGAAGTTCTTGGAGAAATGGGTGAAAAAGCAGCAACCAATGATGTTATGAATAGGCTGATTGCTGCACTTGGGGATGAGAATGAGAATGTCAGACAGAAAGCATCTGAAGCTTTGGGGGAAATTGGTGAAAAAGCAGCAACTATTGACGTGATCACTGGGCTAGTGACTGCACTTGGAGATGAGAATTGGAATGTCAGCATGAGCGCATGTGATGCTTTGGGGAAAATGGGTGAAAAAGCAGCAACCAATAACGTGATCAATGGGCTGGTGACTGCACTTGGGAATAAGATTGGGCATGTTAGACGGAGAGCATGTGAAGCTCTCGGAAAAATTGGTGAAAAAGCACCAAACAATGATGTGATCAATGGGCTAGTGACTGCACTTTGGGATGCGGATATGTCGGTCAGAGAGAGTGCATGTCAAGTTCTCGGAAAAATGGGTGAAAAAGCAGCAAGTAATGATGTGATCAATGGATTATTAAATGCACGTCGTCGTGTTATCGGGTATAGTAGTGCCAATGAAGCACTTGAAAAGATTCTTCTTTCGTTCTCAGCATTAACACAATTATCCTCCGATACAGTTTCGAAACTTTTTGAAAATATAAAGGAAGGTCAGTTGGGTGCCTTGAGAACTGTTCCTCCAGATCAATTTGTGAAGGTGTTTTTGCATACAAGAAGTACTGCGTGGCTTCCTGTAGTAACCGTCGTTGCACTTGTGCAGGGAAATGCGGTCACCGTTACTGGCAACACTATTATGCTGTATGGCAGTCAAGAATCAGTCCAGGTACCCGTTCCTGATGAAGAGCTCCGTAGAGAATTGGTTGAAGCTTTTATTCATCAGACAGAAGAACTTCAGTCATCTTCGGATCTCTTGGCGAAATCAAAAGTGGTGTCTTCCGTATGCATTCTAATGTAATAGTGTTCATCGAATATTATACGTGTGGGATCGTAAATGTTTTTATAAGTGTGTAATGTAAACCGCGGACTCTTTATTGCTTGATTGTGAGGCGCTATTATTTGGTGTCCTTTCTTTTATGATAAAGTTCGAAGGCAACTATTGAAAGAGAACAAGGAATTACTGCCGATCAGTATGAAACGAATTCACATCAGTCTGTCACAGGTCGGTATGCGTGACATCTTGAAGGTGAGGGAGAGTTGGAGTTGCCATTGTTGCGATTTCAACTTTACTAATGACGAAGTTTTATCAACATTATGATCACGTGAAAAGTTTTGATTGTACTAATTTCTGAATTGTGTTTTTTAATCTTTGGAGTAAACTCCATTAATATTGATACAGCGTGAATAGTTGATGTATTAGAAACGATTCGAATTTCTTTATGAAATTTCCCCATGTTGCAATTGTTTTTGATGGATTTAGAGTTACGGTGAACAAAGCATTGATTAACGAAAATAATGTAGATGATGGATCGAATAAATGAAACATTTGTACGAATAATATGGTAGATTTATGTTCGAGAAACTCGTTTTGTACAAGAGCCGACTCATGTGAATGAATCCTGCTAGGAGAAAACTACTAAAAATATCTTTTTGCATTGTGGGTGTGGGGTGTCGGTATAGGTGGAATTTGAGTGTAGGGTGTGGGCGCGCGTAGGTATTGGTGGGTGTGGATCCAGCGAAGAATAACATCCACACCTACACAGCCAAAGGTACATGGATTCACACCCACGCCCACATCTACGCCAACACCCACACCGAAACTCACACCTCCATCTTCACTTACCCTGAAGACAGGTATCTAGGTGTTTTGCAATCATGTTTTCTTTTTACATGTTGTTACCGTCAAAAGATGTCACTTATTGCCGCTAAACTTATATTCATGCATTATCAGTTTGTTTAATCCTCTTCTATTTTTCTATTGTTCCTTTTGTTATAGTTGACTCTCGTGACTCAATATATATATGGTATTGCATCATTTTGTTTTTTTCTGTTGTTATCATTTTTTCTTTATTATTATTATTATTATTATTTGTCCTTATTTTCATTATTGTTATACCGTGTTATTATTAACATAGTTATTAATTGTTAAATGTTTATTTATTATAAAATAAACATTATTATTAATCCTATTCAATAAAATTATTCAGAAATTACGTCAACCCAAGTCAAGGTAAGCGATTTCATAGTGAGCGCTCTTGTTCATAAGTGCAGACAATACCCCATTACGTTATTTCTAAGTCTACGTGTTTTATGAAAAATAAAAACATTAACTGCATCCAATCAAGAGTCTCACACGTGGGTATGGTCGAGCTGTCAAAAAAGGTCTGTTCCGACTAAAATTTGTATGCTCTCCTCAGGGAGAAGACTTTTTCTAAACGTTATCCACTACTCGAATACTAACATCTAAAGTGCTGATTTTGTATCATACAAAAAACCCGATCACCTTTCCACAAAATGGTTGAAACTCAAAGGATTCACCTATTTATGAATACAGAATAAAATTTGTAATAGGTTTAGGAGTTAGTTAATATAATGGTGATTAAGAGCGTATAATAGTATCGGAATAAAAGGAAGTGTTATGCAAAGCGTATGCTTCACGGATTGGGCAGTTTCATAATTTGGACAATTCCATCCTTTTAGTGGAATGAAAATTGCTTGATAAATTTCTTCTACAACAACAGTGTAATTAGTGAACCATAAATCCTGATAGACATCAAACAATGGTTGAGGAAGTGTATGTTGATAAATGAGACGTCCATCAACAGCTGCCGTATCGATAAACCAAGTTACAACATGCGTCGCACAATTCTATCGATAAGCTTTGGTTTTCTGATAGTATAGGGACGAGTTGTACGAACATAACTTTGTAATCTAATTTTGTGAGAGTGTGACTGGATTTCCTGGTTATATAACACATGATATTCCATTTAGTGTAAGGCTAGCATAGTAGGCGTATGTGTCGAGAGGAACAGATGAGGTAAAAAGAGTATCGTAGGCAGAGGAAAATGTTCCCGCAAAATAGAGGTCATCGGCTCGAAATTTTTGATTGATTGAATCAATTACCTGGTATAAGATGCCAGCACCAGCAGGCAAATTATTTGACACATTGATAAATTGGAAATGAGTAGTTGCTGTTCATCTTGGAGGATATGTGGGAGGATCAGAAGGCGTCTCCTCGACATAGAGCTCGCTTATCAATCGAACTGACTCACCAGGAACAGATACATTCATCAGATAGCTGGTTATTGTCCATGTGGATGTGAAGACAAGCGAGAATAGAAGGATATGTTTCATGAATGTTTTTTTTATGGATTTATAAGGAAAAGAAAAGCATTCGCCGCAAAAAGCCGTGTAAAAATCTACATTACTATGAAATGCAGAAGACCACAAACATGTTCAAGGGGAAACAAGCAGCTTCGCTTTTTTCGTGTCTATTTTCTTCAAAGGTATGAATATTGTTGGTTAATATCTAATCAAATTATTTCGTGGGTGATATTGGCTGATGATTTGCCTTTGTTTCTTTCGCTGAAGGAAATTGTTGCTTGTTGATAGTGAAATATTGTTGTGTAAATAGCATGATACTAATAAGAGAAAGAAATATTTCTTTAAGTGTGATACACAGAAAAAAGAAGGTTTCCTTTCTTGCATGTTGAAGGTAGGGCGAGTGCACTAGATAAGGATATCAATGAACAAAATGGAAAAGCCATAGTTCTTGATCAGTTTCACTTTATTAGTTTTTCTTCCTAAGAAATGTTCATCCCTTCAATAGTCACACATGATACGTAGAGATGATCAGCGTGAAAAGGTTGTGGGTGGGTGTGGGGTGAAGGTCAACTGTAGGAACGAAGTTTTTTTAAAAGAATCTAATACAACATGAAATTTTCTATCAATCGGCATATTTTTTGTTATTAGTTGAGCACAAATCTCTTCGTTAGAAAATATAAAATACTGAAGAATACTTGATTCTATTTTTGCTTGGCAAAAAGTACTTTAATTGTAAAAAAATCAATGCATATATAGACAGAGTCTCTTCTCATAGTACATCTTGTAGACGGTCTCTGATACTATCTATGTTACCATTTAAATCAGATCAGTGCTTCTTAATGTGAAAAAAAAATTAAAAAAACAAATATAAAAAAAATTGGAAAAAGCAAATTCGCTTAAACTTTTGTCGTTGACTGTAAGATCTAGAACCAAAAAGTATGATATTCTATTATTTTCAGATCTAAACGAAGATCGGTAAGATATTCATATTCGAGATAATCATAGAAGTCCGCATAGAATAGAATGGTTCTAAAATATCCTTGCGTGGATGCACTCAAACATGTTCCCCTGTGACATCAACTTTATGACCTTTAATGTAGGAGTAAATCTTGAACAACTCAATATTTTGTGCTGAAATTTTTACTGTAAGCATCCTACGTTCGAGTGCACATTTTCTGACAAAGAGAAAGAGCTTACAACTTGTAATAAGGCTCAATATCTTTTATTAAAACGAATTCGATAAAAGTTCTTTCGTATTTCGAATAAAAAACTTTTTTTCAATAAAATTCACAAAACTGATAAAACAAAGTAAGCTAGATTTCAATTTAAGTTTTCAATACTTAATACTATGTAAAAAAAAAATAATTTTTTCACTAATACAATTTATATATCGAAAAGATACAGTAATTATTCGTCGTGATTACTTCACACAAATAAACATTAATTATCGTATAAAATTTTCTATGAATTCAGTTTTTCAATTACTAAACAAAATTCAATGTAGAACTGTGTGACTGCTAGAATGCAGGATACGACAAATATCGAATATATATATTTAAAAATGAACCTTCAAAAATACAATCTTTACATCGTTAGTGAGATTTGATACTTTACTGTGCTATTTAATAAGTTTATTTCTTCGCAGTAACTTGACGAATTTTATACTCAGTTTCATAACGACGTGGGTGATCAACAGAAAGAAACTTCTCATATACTGTCAATGCACGCTGGTAGTAGTCAAGTGCAACCTTTTGTTTGTTCTGATTTTCAAAACAAAGTCCAATGTTGTTCAAACTAGAAGCGATATCTACAAGACCAAATGGATGGAATTTCTCTCGAATTTTCAATGCTTTTTGATAATAATGGACAGCGGCATCCTAATTTTCATGACGATACTCAATATTACCAATTTTGTCGAAACTAGAAGCAATATCAACATGACCAGTTGGATAACACTGCTCTCGAATTTTCAATGCTTGTTGA